ATGAGATGATCCTATAGGATGCCTTGTTATGAAGCTTTATGCATTATGTGTTTAGATTGTGCTTATTAAGCATTATAGACATGACCTTCATATAATGTGTTACATAATTCCTTATTAATAAATGATTAAATATTATTCTGGTTGACTGAAAGGCTTTTATTGATGCTTATGTTAAATTGAGAAACTCAAGACGGTTTATTAAAGACTACTGACATTTCTAAGTGCAGACATGATGATTTATTATTTACATTGAGAAACATCAGCATTTTAACCAATAAATAATTTGTATCAACTCATTTATCAGAAAGTAAAAAGTATAAATATATATATTAGAGTAACAGACCAACATTTTGGAAAATGAAGCACATGAAGCAGAAATATCCACATGGCATGGCACATGTGTTGAGAGTGTTACCTGCTCTGTAACTACTCCATCTCTCTGAGCTTCAGTGGTGGTGAGTTAGAAAAGCTGGAAAGAATTCCAACTCTCTCTTTGACACAAATTTCACTTCTGGATCAACTTTTAGATGTTAAATTAATGAAAAATGGTGAAAAAACTACAAACAAGTATTCCCACTAAACCCACTGACAGGCAGTTTGAATCCTAGACCACTGAAAGAAGGTCTTCCTATAAGACAACTACACATTGTGAAGATCTTAAAGAAACTTTTAAACCTTTTAAATAAAACAAGTTCCAAAAAAAACAAGTTTCCTTCTCGACAGACTGATTGTTCTTACAACAGCTGGTTTTCTGTCTTCCATCATGTTTCGCCGCTCCAGAGCTATTAACATCGTTGCCTCTTATGCGAGTTAACAGTATTGTAGGAAAAAAATAGCATACAAGCTCAGTTAACCCTTTACATACAGATTACAAAGGATGATCGCCGACCTCACGTGTCTGTAGGAAATATGCAACTCTGCTCCCAGTTCTTGCTGTTTGGACACATGTTACCTGCAATGCTTTCAGCTAAAAATGGGTCAGTGCATTACAACAATACTCTGGTATATTCAGGGCCCTGAATCAGAAAGTGGGGCTAGTGAAAACCCAGAGATGAGGAAACCTCTGGGTTTCAGATCCATAAACTCTGGTGAACCTGACCCAGACACGCCCTTTTATTCCCGCTTTATCAAAGGTTTCCTGTTTGTCAGATTATAAATCCTGCGTCCATATTAGTTTGTTATTTAGGACTATTTTAACTAACCAGTGTTATCCGCTGTCCTCTCATTTCCTTGAACAGCATTTTTCTGACATCACATTCAAATATTATACTCGACACTAAAGCATTTCTACTTGAATGTTTACTGCACATTAATTGTGTAATCTCTGTATAAACAGTAGAAGTCAACATGAAGCTTTAGACCCGGAGGATCAATGAATAATAACCTCCTGATGTGATTGGTAGTTTACAGTCTGAACATGTTTTACCAACATCGCAGTGACTGTGTTTACATTTAGTACATGAGTTGAAGTAGCTGAAATAATGCTGATGAGCCAAGATCCAATTTAAAATACATTTATTTAACGTGCAAATCCTGACACACACATTACCACTGGATCAGATTGTGAGGTTAAAATCATGTCTCCGATCGATACACTTTTTGAACCAATACTTTTCATCTTCAGTGTTCCACGTCGGGAATGTTCAACTCCAGAGTTCAGGGTTAGGCTCAGACTTTGTTGAAGCTGCTATCTGAAGCAGGAATTTGAGACGTAAACCATCGAGAGCAACGATTGTCTTATTGAACGTCAGTGTGAGTATAACCGTCTGATTGTATGAAGGTACATGGGGCCTTGTTGCAGGGTCCTGGTCCAGGTCTCATCATTCTCCTTGTGACTGCATCTGTTTACAAAAGGCCTCAAACTGCTGCTGCTCCAACTCCGTCATCACCTTGTTCAAGGCATAAATCTGCAAATCAAGAAGGGAAGACAGCGGACGCAGCTGGTCATACAGGAGCGAGAAGGAAAGTGGAACACATCACATTTACTACCAGAATAGACTGTGTGGTGTTAGGTCACCTCGGCTCTCTGGCGCTGCTTGTGCTCTTGCTGTGCAGACTTCTGCCGGGCTCGGTCTCCTCTGGTCGGGGTGGAGTTCAGCTTCGGCTTGTCTTTACGGCAGGCTGGCTCCATGGCGACGGTCCTCCAATCAACCTGGGAGGTTTAAGATAAATACAATATGTCTGACACTTATTGTTAAATAAGCTTGCTTATCTATACATATACAAACAACCCAAAGCGACATGTTTGTCATTCATAATTATTTTCAATTTGAATAATATAACTTGCATATCGCTAGCATACAGAAACAGTAAATGAGCCATTTCCAGTAAGCTAACGCTAATGTTAGCTTAAGCTGTTAGTTTACAGAGTAACAGTCAAACCCGCAATAACAGTTGTGTTCCAGTTAACGGTGCTCCTACCGTGGGATATAAAACGGCGGAAAACAGTAATATAAGTTGATTTAAGGTTGAGTTAGCCGGAGAGGTGGATGTAGCTAGTCCTCAGCCGACAGCTGTTCACAGGTGTCACCAATAAACAAATCCGGCTTTCGCCGTCAAGCTTTAATTCAAAGGTTCCGGCTGGTTTTGTTTCCGCCTTACCGCCATCCAGCGCCGCTGTCTTCAAAATAATGAATTAATACACATAAGAAAAAATATAAGATAATAAAAAAAGAAAGAAAAAAACATAACTATCTGTATTTTCAACATGTCCTTCCCTTAAGTAATCTCATCTCAAGTTCTTTATATTCATACAGTATACTCAAACATTCATGAAAAACAACCCTTCATGTCAACAATATGCAAATCAATATACAAATTCTAGATTTCCTTGCTTATTTTTCTAATGTTATTATTTTTTAATTTTTTTTACAATTTATCAATATAAATGTGCCGTATACGGACCACAAAGAGCACATAATGAAGTAATGCTTTTTGAGCATTCATCCATTTAGTGTTAAAGTAGCCAGGAGAAGAAATCCCAGAAGAGCCTGCATGTTCATAACTTCCCAAAATAAGGTAGAAGAGCAAATAATAATGGATAAGTTTAAATAGTGTGTGCAATTGGAAGACAATGTTCATGTTCCACTAATCTGAAATGACCAAGAAATCTATCTTGGAAAACATTATGAAAGCTGTGCACAGTGAACTCGGTAACTAAGAAATGTTGCTGCTTACAGCAACATTTACACTTCATTGCTGTGAGCTTCACACATGAAATTCCACTCTCCTTCATTGTATTACGGAGGTGGCAAACCTTATCAATTCAAACTACAGTACAAATTGCACAGCTAAACATGTGTCAGTTTTTTGTGAGTTGGGTGAATTGGAACAAATGAAGCCCGCCAGTTTGAAATTCTATATGAATAACCGATTCATCTTTCAGGATAAACACTGTGCTGTCTGTCTGTAGGACCACCAGGGTGGAGGTTGGCTCCCAGAGGTTTCCCAACAAAAGCAGCAGCAGGAAAGAGTGAAATTGTATTAACCACCTACTACTGCCTGCTAACTGGGTCCGACCACAAGATGTCGCTCTCGTCTAATAGCCCAGCTATACTCATTGGATTGCGCATGAGTTTGCATTAGCACAGATATTTCGGGCATCGTGATGTCATTCAACATTGACCTGATGTGTGTGTCTGACTGTGATGGTACTTTTGGAAAGGAGAGTTCGACAGGAGAATATTAAGAAAATGAAACGGTTTTCTAAGTGTTTTCCACCTATTTCCACTTTTGATTCAGACTCAGATCATACACGCACACACACACACACACACACACACACACACACACACACACACACAGACTGTACAGACTCCTCTCAGGGCACCTCCTCAGTGCATAAATCAGCTGAGTGAGGAGTGAGCCCGACACCAGCTGAGGGGTGGTCCAGAACACATTCATCACCTCAGAAACCAAAACAGTCATTACGAAGGGACAGAATCACTAAACACTCTCACATACAAAATGAGGTAGATCGTACCTCTCAGACCAAACTACCTGACAACTCTGATAGTCTGATAGTTGTGAACTCGAGTCTGAATTTGTGCATGTGTGCCCTCTGGCAGTGCTACGCCATGGAGATTTATGGTGCGGCATACCAACGGTTTACCTGGATTTATCCTCCAACTACAGGAGAGTGCTCTCCCTCGAAATAATATCCTGCCAAAAACAACTCCTGCTGAACGCTGCAGACAACAGCCAGGCCTGCTGCTCCATATGCACAGCAGCATAAGGAAAAGCACACACTTTTATAAAGCTGGGGAATCAGCAGCAGAAGTTTAATGTGGTCCCTCAACTGCTTTTTGGTAAAAACACTTGAAAAAGTTGAATATACAGGAATACCTTTGTCTGCTTTGCAGCTCTCTGTCAGCATTTAAAGGGGACATGTCGTGCTCATTTTAGGTTCATACTTGCATTTTGTTTTTCTGCTAGAACAAGTTTACAAAAACACATTATTTTTCTCATACTGTCTTTCTGAATATACTTGTATTCACCCTCTGTCTGAAACGCTTCGTTTTAGCACCTGTCTCTTTAAGAACCCCGTATGAAAACAAACCCAGTCTGCTCTGATTGGCTAGCGAGAAAAATATGGTGCACCTTTGCAAAGGTAGTTCTCAAATCGAGGGTGGAGATAGTCACACTGGGGGCGGTATAAGTTAATAAGCCTGCATGTGACATAGGAAGGGGAGTCAAATCTGATTGGCTTGTTGAATCACATGTTTTTGGATCTAGGCGGCCCACAAAAAAACGGACTGAGTATTTCTCAGTTTGTGCGTTGGTAGACTCTCCAGATACCCAAATGTGAGCAAGCACTGAAAAAGTCCATTTTTCCTGATATGTCCCCTTTAATACAACACACTAGTTATTTCACCTTAAAGTTAAATGTGCTGCCACAAACCCCCAGAGTTCAAAGGAGGGGGAAAAAACTTCAGGATGTAAAAAGTTAATGTGAAAAAACAAAAAAAAAGAAGACAAACTGGGCAGTCAGGGTGTCATCATGGCTGTCTGAAAAGCACACCACCCAGAGAAAACCCAAGGTGAAAGACGTCACAGTACTGACCACGCTGTTTGATTGACAAGCTGTTTCTGGGCCAGTCACAGCACAAACACCCATGACTGAACCAAACGCAGCAACACATCACAGGACAAAGGTGGTGCAGGTGAAGCGAGCGACTACACGGCACCTTAATGACCCTGCCGACATGTTGGTAATATTGTGCAGATGATGTTACATTAGTTCGGAAGCATGACTAAATAAACAAACTACTACTTTGTTAAAAGTATGATACAGTAGGGTACATGTCATGCATGAGAACAAGGTTGATTCCATTTTATAACAACTCGAGCCTTTTCATTTGTTTGACCATAATTTCAGTTGTGATAACATTTTACTCACCAAAGTAAATGCTGAGAGCTGAGAAAAAACTGCAACATGGCTACAGAGAAGTTTGATTAGAAACAGATCAGACGATCACACAGGTTGCAAACAGATTATCTAAACCACTCTTTTTGTGAGTAGAAGAAGAAAGTAAATATATTCAAAATGTGCCAATCGTTCCTCATTGAACAGCAAAACTGTCTGCGCACAACGACGTAAAGTACCCTTAAGGTCAAAGGTGAACCAGGTGGTTGGTCTGAAAATGAGATACATGTTTGCAGTTGGGTAAACTACAAAAATAAAAAGGCAAAATAACTAGTATGTTATGTTAAAGGGGACATATCATGAAATACCTTTGCAGTGCTTGAACACAGTTTTTGGGTGTCTACCAACCCACAAACTGAAATAAGTTAACTGATGTCAGTAAGGCTTCTTATACACTTTATATTTTTACTCTTGTATTTAATCTTTAATCTAATCATATATTTTTCTAATTTAGTTGAATTTTGCAGTGTCAGTACTACTTATTTTACACTTAATAACAGTTATTCTATTGTTCATATATGTGTATATTTTATTCTATAGTTTTGTGTTATTCTTCTTTTGTAATCTTTGATCAAACTCTGGCAAGAATGTATTTTGGGATTAATAAAGTTCTATCTTATCTTGTATTTTTCTCAAAAGCCAATCAGAGCAGACTGTGGTGGGTCTTAAAGAGACAGGCGCTTAAACGGAGCGTTTCAGACAGCGGGTGAATACAGGTATATTCCGACAGACAGTATGAGAAAAATAATGTGTTTTATGAACATTAAAGCATGTAAACATGTTTTAGTGGAAACCCAGAATACAAATATGAACATGAAAATGAGCATATGTCCAGCAGCAAAAGCCAACCTGTTATTCGTTTCAGAGGGAACTTGTGGCAGACAGAGGAGGAAAAGAGATGCAAAGGTTAAGAAGTGAGGGAAGACTAGATGGAGAGATGGTTAAAGTTTTATAGGGTGGCAGAGAGTGCCGGGGAGGGGAGGGATGAGGTGCGGAGAGACGGGCCAGGGAGACGGCAGCGGCACAAGTGTGTGTTAGAGGCCTTGTTCTTCCAAATTAAACTCTCTCTCCGGGGGGAAAGCACAGCTCTGACTGCTCTTTCACACCAGCGTCCCTGAACACACAAACTCACCACAACCTCCTAGCCCTCGCTCGCCAGTGCACTGCCAAAAAACACACACGCATACACCAGCGCGCACACTCTCACAGACACACACACAGACACACACACACACACACGTGTGTGACAGCCTGGTGTGTACAAATCCCCATAGACATGTACATATGCATACAAACACACACACACACACGCAGTCTTTCAAAACTAAAAATAAACAACCACGGGGACTGTGCCTAAAATAACTGCACACACACACACACACACACACACACATGCGCTTACTGTACACGCAACCACAAAAGCCTTCGCTCTGTCGCTCTCTTCGCACCTGAACCCCGATAGACCTGCTGCAGCCAAAGCAAACAGCAAGCAGCAACCAGTAAAAAACAAAAAAAGAGTAAAAGATATGGACAGGATATGACCTGACAAGCAGGGGTCAGTGTGTGTAATGCAGCACACACACACACACACACACGCACACACACACACACACACACGCACACACACACACAATCCTGTCAGCTTGTATTTGAGGTTTTCTTTTTTGACGCCGGGAAATGTTTTCAGATTTAATGCCGTCTTAACACCACTCCGCTACACATTTACAGTTACAGGTATAGCTGCCTGGTACAACGGAGGACCCGCAGAGATGAGTGCCTTGCTCAGGGGCGCCTCAGCAGAATCTGCTAAGGTGTGAAAGAGGATGTTAATGATGTGGTTATTCCTGAGGGCAAACATCCCAGGTATTTATTGGATGGTCATAAGTTTCAAGTCTCAAGTGTGTCAGAGCAAATCCCAAATCAAGTCTTCTTCTCAAGACAGAGTCCAAGTCAAGTCTCAAGACTGTGAGATTAAGCCTCATGAGATCAAGTCTCAAGTCCTTGAGGTCAAGTCCAAGTCGAGACTAAAGCCCTCATTGAGTCCAAGTCCAGTCAAAGGTTTTTTTAAGAATGATAGAGATTGAGTTGCAAGTCTTTCAGACCTAAATACTGCCT